GTGTTATTATATTTTGCACTTGATCGAGGAGACCTGGGGGACAATTTCAGCGGATGATGTTCCATGGTATCTCAGTACCTGTAGTGTTTGGTGCAATTGCTGGTTGGCTTGAGGTGCATCGTTAACTATACGACAGTTTACGCGTACTTTGAAGGCTTTAGAAATAACGACAAAATGCTATTTCCCTTAACAAGAATATATGCCTTTCAACATAGGTTCTTAGTCTCTGTGAACTGGGTTTAAAAAGTCTTTAACGGGTCTAAACAAGTATTTCCAGTTTATTATTAAAGTAGCTTATTGCGATGTCGTAGTGTCTGACCTCTGCTGAATCCTAGCCGATATACGTTAAATTCTTGCATCTCAGAATGGTAGACCGACCACATGTGAAACAAATCAAACTTGTGCAGTTATCCTCCTCTCTCCCTTTGGGATGTCGAGCCTTCATTTGTACCAGGGTCATGGCTTAGTTTGCGAATAGATATTTGTAAATTTCAAGAACGGGCAACGGCTTTGCACGTAATGTTATCCAGCACAGGAAAGCTGCTATCATGCAGCGATGCACTAGAGAGCTTGTACAGCGCCAATCAACTTGAAAATGCATCCAGACGTAGTATCTGAATACGCAAACGCCGAAATCGTACCTACTTGAACGAACTGAAGATGACTGGGACAACACAACAGTCTGCTAATTAGCATGCGTTTCATTGGCACGCACATGTAGTTGGATTACGTCAACGAACTGGATGTTGTTCAAGCCAAAAGCGACGTTGCTTCGATGCATCGTACATGTTTGATCAGTGCAATCATGATTACTGAAACGGCTCATTAGGCTCCTTGGCAGAAGAGGCCAGTGTAACATCGCAGAAGTATTGTGAATATCGATCATGTCACGAAGACCAGCCAGTTCCGTATTGTTCTTATGCATTCTCATCCGAATTCCAAAGCTGGTTTGAATCTGAGCGTTGATGAACTATCAACATGTACAATTCTACTGGTTTATTCAAGTTGTTGATACTAATGCGAAAGTACGAGCAAACCGGGCTTCAAAACATAATTTCTACCGAGTAAACACTGCTTTGGTGAATTGTCGATGCGGGGCGTGGAGATATGACCTACTTAAACGGCCCTTAATCGTCATGAAAATACTTTTAAATCGATAGAACTGTGAATTGATACTTCCTCCCGGCATTCGGTCTCAACTCAACATTTAAAGTCCCTCATACATCTGGGGTACCGTCTAAGGTATCTTACCTCCATAGACTCGTCGCTCTTCGAGGATCTTTTGGATGCTGACAGTACGAAGTGCCATTTCTGTGAAGCTAATATCTGCCACAGTACTGGAAGCACTTTTTGCCTACTTCCCAATTT